TCTTCAGATGTGGAACATTCACGTTAATGGCCACTGACTCTGGGCCACCAGCCAGCCTTAGTGAGCCTCAGCGTGCTGTGTTGACTCGCGTTCAGTGGTCAAGGTACATCACCACCTCGGGCACCACCTGCGCCAGTGCCAGTTCTATTCGCGCCGATCAGTGAGCGATGTGGGAAAAGTCCGCGTTGGCATACCCACCGCCCGCGCCGCAGCGGCGGGCCGTTATCGGTTATCGCACCCCCCAGATGGCGACTGAATGGACGGGCTCGCGTCGCCCGGCCGTCACGGCGCCTCCCAGCGACGTCAGGCGGCGTGCGGCCGTACCTTGCCGTGCCGTGCTGGAGCCGGCTCTGCGCCATCTCCCGCCGCTCGGGATCTGGTCTCAGGACGGCGGCAGGTGCCACAGCGCGCTCCGGTGACCGTCGAGCTGACGCCCGGCGCCCTCAACTCAGGCGCGCGCCTGGGTACCGGCGGCCGACAGGCAGCTATTCACAGCGACGCTGCTGGCTGGAGCGGCTCTTTGGCCAGCCCGCCCGATCGTAAATCACCGGCAGACAGCAGGCTTGACGCGGCGGCTGGCCCGGCTCCGGCTTCCATCCGCGGCTCCCTCTGGCCGGGCTCCGGCTCCCACCAGCAGCTCTTACCAGCGGCTCCCTCTGGCCAAGCTCGGACTCCCACCAGCGGCTCCCTCTGGCCGGGCTCCGGCTCCCACCAGAGGCTCTTCCAGCGGCTCCCTCTGGCCGGGCTCTGGCTCCCACCAGCGGCTCCACCTCGCCCCGTTCTGGCTACCACCAGCGGCTCTTACCAGTGGCTCCCTCTGGCCAAGCTCCGGCTCCCACCAGCGGGTTCATCTGGCCCCTTTTGGCCCCCACTAGCGGCTCTTACCAGCGGCTCCCTCTGGCCAAGCTCCGGCTCCCACCAGCGGCTCCATCTGGTCCCATCCTGGCCCCCACCAGCGGCTCTTACCAGTGACTCCCGACTTTCGACTGCCTTTCGTCTCTACGTACGTCAGCGGGGTCGCCGTCGTTCGCGGTCACCGCACCTTCCCGGGGTGACTTCACACTGCACTGAGCTGCCCCACCCCCTAATCCGGTGGGGATCTGCGGTGACCCAAGTACGCCTTCGTCTGGCTCTGAAGCTTCCGGCGTGACGTCACGTCGCGTTGGCTGGCTCCATGCGGTTCAGCTGGCCGCTCAGGGCTTTTTGGAGCCTGACTAGCTCCCGTGAAACGACTGTGTTTAGTGATGTATTCGGTGGGCTGTTACCGCACGCGTTCGTGTCGTCCAATGCCGTTGGGTTTTGTCGTTACCTTTTATCTTCCCGAAATTTCTGATTTCATTGATTCCCAAAAGTGCACATTCCCATGCCTGACATACGAACTCTCACCCTTATTTTTGCTGTTATTCATTTAGGAATCGATTGATAAACGTGGGTTGTTGTCAAATCTGCCACCAGTTGATGTCATCGGGGCTGTACGCCCTGTCCGGGTAGGGAACGGCTCGGACCGTGGGAGACGGGGGCGGGTCATACCCCGGCGGCGGCGGTGGGGGCGGGGGGCTGTTGTGGTGTTGGCCATATTTCATATGCAAGCCATGACCGGGTAGCTAACTGGGCTGGGCTGGAGAGCCTTGCGGCTTACGCCCAGCTCCGTTTACAGAGTGGGAGCGTTGTGATAAACCATCCTACCCTGCGGACGCACTGCTTCAGAGGAGCAACCAGCAGCTGCCTCTACGGTACTCCTTAAGGCCGTGTGCAGCCGAGGTCGTGGGGCCTGTGCTGTGGCTCGCCCCTTCCTCAGTCCCGCATGTCGTGGGGCCTGTCCCGTGGCTCACCCCAGCCTCAGTCCCGCCGGCGTTGAGGCCTGTCCCGTGGCTCGCCCCAGCCCCAGTCCCGCCGGCGTTGGGGCCTGTCTCGTGGCTCACCCCAGCCTCAGTCCCGCCGGCGTTGGGGCCTGTCCCGTGGCTCACATCAGCCTCAGTCCCGCCGGCGTTGGGGCCTGTCCCGTGGCTCACATCAGCCTCAGTCCCGCCGGCGTTGAGGCCTGTCCCGTAGCTCGCCCCAGCCTCAGTCCCGCCGGCGTTGGGGCCTGTCCCGTGGCTCGCCCCAGCCTCAGTCCCGTCGGCGTTGGGGCCTGTCTCGTGGCTCGCCCCAGCCTCAGTCTCGCCGGCGTTGGGGCCTGTCTCGTGGCTCACCCCAGCCTCAGTCCCGCCATTCGTTCGGCTGGCAGCCGGTCATGGAGTGGCGGCTGCTGGCAGCCGCGCGGCCCCGGTATATCGGGCGGCGGCGGCGCGACGCAACACGTGACCTCCAGCGACGCGCCGCCGCGCCCCGTCACGCGCCGCGAATGCCGCCGCGCGGCTGGCGCATCACGACCGCCACACCTGTGTGTCACCGCTGACGTGTGGCAGCGGCGGGCCGCGACCGAGCCCGTCTGATTCGGCCGCCGCGCAGCGCCAATCACCGGCATCGGAGCCAATCCCAGGCCTGGATCAGCCCTGAGCTGCTTAGATCAACCCTGAGCTGTCCGGATCAACCCTGAGCTGCCCGGATCAACCCTGAGCTGTCCGGATGAACCCTAAGCTGTCCGGATGAACCCTAAGCTGTTCGAATCAACCCTAGGGTGTCAGGATCAACCCTGAGCTGTCAGGATCAGCCCTGAGCTGCCGGGATCATTCCTGAGCTGCCCGGATCAACGCCAGGCGGCTCTGGTGGCAGTGAGTCACGGCTCTACCGAAAATAGCAGATCGTTCAGAGTTGAAAGCACTCAGGGATTCTCTGTAACTGAGATGTGGCGAGATCGCCTCATATTGCCCCATTTATCACGTGGCGTTCAGTTCGGGACAGCGTTGGCTTTATCGACCCCTCTGCTAGCCTGCGTGCGACGTGAAATCACACCAAAACGTATCTTTGTAACGCATAATACGTATTTATGATATACTTGATATGACACTTTTGGCTGCGGTAGGTATGACTGACGTCAATTCACTCTGTCTGTCCGCGGAAGCTGAACGACGATAACAAGGTGATTAGCAAAATGATTTGTGAGTGTAATACGCCAGCCCCTCTCTGGTGACGGCGGTCAAATTCCAGCTTGGTAAAAAGAGGGGAAATGGCTGGAACCGAATTGTCTCCAGTTTGAAACCGGTCAACGTGTCCCATTCCTGAGAATGTCCTTTACATAATCGATGTCCATTAGAATACGACTCTCCGCGTGATATTCATGCCCTGCGGTATCATAACCCAACACGTGCAGTCTGTCTTCAGCCCGAATGACTCACTGATCTAAGCTGTCATAAAACGCAGCCATCCTCGACAGCTAGCTGCGCCGCAGCGAGTGTGAAGCGCGAACACCCAGCGTGTTTAGAGAGCGGGCTGGTCCGCCGTGAAGGCAGCCGGCCAGCGCACGATGGGTGCCGGTGGACCGGAGCCTTCTCTGCAGCGTGCACTCATGCGAGGGCGTGGGCCGCGAGCCGGCTGTAGCGTGGGGCCCGGCAGACACTACGCTCATGAATGCAGTGCACGTGGCGGGGAGACGTTACGCCGGTGCTTGCAGCGTGCGTGCTTCCAGGAGCCATGGGACGCAGACTGCCTGTGGCAAGGGCGTAGAACGCCACGGCTGCGTACACGGGCCGGGACTGGCCGACGTCGGCTTACCGACCAGCCGGGGGTCGGTGCGCGCGCCGGTGTATGTATGTGTGTGTGTACGGGGCGGGGGGGGGACAGAAGATAGTCGAGGGCAGTGCGATTAGATGACAGGCTCGGCCCTGCCCCGGTCGATACTGGCGACCAGCGACGTCTGAATGTGGGCCCCGTTGTCGTGCGTGCCCCCTCCCGCCACAGCCCGCACGGTCGGGCAGCGGGGTCACGCGGCGGGCTCGAACGCGACAGACTTCCCACCGCCCGCGTCAGACGTACCATCTGCCTCGGCCAGTCGCCAACATAAACGGAGCCATCTACGCTTCATGGCTGGTTTAATAATCGCATCTACCCCGAAACATGGCAATTTGTGTCCTCATAGTGATTTTTGGCGAAGTTTCCGTGATTTTTGTGAAATATTAAGGAGACTGAGACGGACATTCGGATGCCAGGCCCCGGGTGCAGAGCCCCGCCCGTGGCCCCGGCGATGCGCCGGCCCCTGCGACCGTTGCCACCCCCGCCCGGCAATGGCTGGGCGGCGGTCGGCAGCCGCAGTGGGTGGCCCCGCCCGGCGGGGCGGCCGCCGCTCCGCGCCCATCAGACGCCACGGCGTGACGTCACGAGCGGGCGGCGCACGACCGGCTGTGGCGGGGGCGGCGACGGCAGGTGGCGACCCGGCGCCGGCGGGTCGACCCCGCCGGGCAGCGGCGAGACAGCCTCCGCCTGCTGGCTGTCGGGACTGGACACCGCCGCCGGGCAGCGGTGAGACAGCCTCTGCCTGCTGGCTGTCGGGACTGGACACCGCCGCCGGACTGCGGCGAGAGGGCGGGTTGATGTCCAGGCCAGTCGCCTGACGCTGTTCCCCGCCCGAACAGCAGCTCTCGGACAGCCCCTGAACAGAGCAGCTGCTCGCTTGCGTCGCTTGACACGCGAGGCCTAACGGGCGCCCCGGTATGGCTGCACCAGCGCCGTACCCGCGGCTCCGTCTGCAAAGCCCGGCCGTCATTTGAAGCGGCCACTTGCCGGGCGGCGTTTGGACGGAGCAGGCGTCAGCGGATTTCACCTCGCCCGGGCCGGGTAGTTCGGCCGCCGGCCGCCAGGGCGGCGCCGGCCCCGCTGGCAGCCGAACCGGAGGGCCGCCCGCGCTCTCGAGCGGGCGGCGGGCGTCACCGCGCCGGCGCCCAGTGACGCGACGGCCGCAGCCGACAGGTGACCGCACGCACGACTCTGCCCCGGGCGGTGTGACCGCGTGACCCATCTGAGGTCAGGTGCCGTGGCCGGGCCACCCGGCGGGTCAGCGAGACCTCAGCGCCGCGCCGCGCCGGCCGCCGAGCTGACGCGGCCGCCGCCGGCCGGACGAGACTAACGAGCATGATGGGACGTGATGCGATGCGTGGGATGCAATCGTGCGGCTGTTCGTGTTCGTTGTAAGGCGAAGGCAGGCCGCGCTCGCTGCTACGTGGAGGCAGCTCGCTGCGCTGTGACGCGAGGATAGCCCGCGCTCGGGGGCAGCCGCACCGCCGAGATGGTGGGCATCTCTGTGGATCCCCAGTGTAAGTATATCACACGCTGGGCTAGACATATGCATAACAACATATTTTTACAAACCTGCATACACTATTCATATATGAACACACACACACACACACACACACACACACACACATATATATATATATATATATATATATATATATATATATATATATATATATATATATATATATGTATATGTTTGCTTGAAGATGTCACTTTGCAGAACTTCAGAACTACCAGCGCGTTTCACTCCAAATGCATCAGCTTTCATGTTATTGCTGGAAGAGGTAGCGACGCAATAGTATGTTTCATGTTAGGATTGTCTAGAAAATGTGCTCTAGATGTTAGAGTGTCATGAATAGAAACGGCTGCGAAGAAGAAACTATACCATGTCCTGTGCGTTTGGGCTAGAATATAGAAACCATCTGCAAAACAAGTGGAGGTGAAAAAATATGGGCGCTGCACAAAAAGAAGCGTTAAAAAACACGTGACTGGCTGGCAGCTTTATGGGGTCCCACTATTGTTACCTGCGTGGGTTTGTGCTGAATCAAACGTGCAGGTTACGCCTGTTCAAACAGGTACAGGATGCGGCTGGCGGATGCTGGCTTTATCACCGACATGATCGGCCCGTAAGCCGTCGCACGCGTCTGGTCGGCCCACTCCGGCGGCGTGGTCAGTCGCCGCCGGCGCCGACGCTGGCCTCCTGGGCGGAGCCGCGGCCGGCCGGGCGGCCGGCGGCCGCGCGCGCTCATGGCGCCAGCAAGCTAACGGAGATGGGCGGCGGCGATAAGGCGCCAAGCGGGCGACCTTGCCGGTGCTAGTACTCGCTACACATGCCAGACAGGCTCCCGGGGGCTGGTCTTATGCCGGGCAGATCCTCCGGAAGCTCGTCACGTGCCACGCAAATCCTCCAGAGGCCCGTCACGTGATGTGTGGGCTTCCAAGAGCCCGTGACATACCAGGCAGGCCTCCAGAGGCCCGTCGCCACGCCAGGCAGATCCTTCTGAGGCCCGTCACGTGCCAGGCATGTCCCTCAGAAGTCCGTCACATGACAGGCAGATGCTCCGGAAGCCCATCGCATTCCAGGCAGGCCCCCCGGAGGTCTCCCACACCCCAGACAGATTCTCTGCGCGAACACCGAGCCGGTGCACGTCCGGTACGCCGCGAAAGGTTGGTGTTCAGGGACGGCTGCGACGTGACGAAACGCCGCAGCACGTCGCACATTTGTTAACACAGCGGCTGGCCGTGCCTGTGCAAATTGACGATTTGTGTAGAATTCCAGCCCGGTGCTGTGAGGTGACGGGACTAGATGGTAGTGAAGCGCCCGCGCTCGGACCAGACGTAAGTCCAAGCAACGACTTTCAGTCATGAGGCATTGCCGCGTTGTCGCCGCACACCAGTGTATGGGTAAGCCGCTGAGCAGTGCATGGGACGGATGATGCATATGAAAACGCATACGATGTTGATAAAAACAGAGATATGCGCACGTCTGGTATTACACTGTTGTTTTTTTGTTACATGCGACGAAAGAGAGGCGTAAGAAACATTCTCTAAAAAATCGTAGACCATGAAACCGGTTTCAGTCAATCACAATCGTTTGTTATAAAGTTTGTTTCCAAAGCAACGCGTTCAGTGCGGTTGACAGGCAACAAGCAACGCCAAAGTTTGCGCGTTGTTCGTGTCACAAACAAATAATGCGTATCACGTGGCGTAGTGGTTTCACCAGACCCTGGGGTGCAAGTCCTAAATGTGGGCCTTTCTAACAGGTTAGAACACAGCCTGTCATGTTCCAGGGTCCGCCCGCTGCGGCCTGCTTTCCTCCGAGTCTGTCAGCGGACCGATCTCCTCAACAGACCTTACTCGCAGCGTTCAGTTTTACGGGCGATCTGTTTTGGAGGATTAATGTCAACCGACAGGAAATTTGTAACTTCGCTAGCCTGATCCGGACCTACCAGGAGCACTTCTAGTGGATTTATATCAGTGCAACTGCTGATCGTGCCGCCCTAAGATCTTTGAAAAGCTATAACGTAATTCGTCACAAGCTGTGCTACAGTTAGTTTAAAGTATTTGAATGCAAGGTGCTCGGCCAGATGGCACACACATATATACAAGAAACACTACAAAACATAAGTAGTTCGGTTACCCATTCCATATATTATTTAAGATTACCTTTCCCAATAATACCTTTCCAAAACCAATCTCGAATAAAAGACATATCTGGGCTCCCAAAGACATCGAGCTCCATACGCCTACGTTTTGGTATTATCTACATGGGGATGGCAATCGTTTGTAATCACATTACTCGTCTCACGCCACAAAAGGCGTCTTGCTGGTGTAAGCTGCGCTTGCGGCGTAAGTCCGTGTAATCGGGAGACGCGGCTTGTGGCTTTAAGCAAAGGCGCGGCCAGCAAAAGGCGTCAATGAAGAATTGCTGACTTGCAGCCAACCGAGCAGTCAGGCGAATGCGAAATTCTTTTAGAAACATTGCAGTGGCAGGTGCTGGCAAGATACCGCACTGCAAATCTGCTCCTCAAGCAAAGTAAAAGAAAAAAAGTGATCATTTCACGTCACTGGAAGGGCACTGTCTCAAAAGCTGCACCTGCTAACTGGACTTCGCGACAGTCTCTGGCAGGAGCGGGCTGAAGGAAAGGGGTTGAGTCCCTCTGCGGTGTTAACTACGCCCGTGACTTAGCCCGGCCCGGCGCCGTTCGTGCCGGTGCGTGCAGACCCTTCTTGGGCTCCGACCGCGGCCGACCGACGCCGACATCCGATCACCGTGGGCTCAGCAGCGCCCCAGCGGCGGTGGGAGTGGCGGGTGAGGCAGGAGCGACGCTCGCAGCACGGAGGCGGTGACTGGGGTGAAAGGAGCGCTGCGGGTGGCAGAAGCGATGCCGGGGCAGGAGCGATGGCGGGACAGGAGTGGTGGCGGGACAGGAGTCGTGCAGGGTTCTAGAGTGTCCGGAGAAAGGAGCGCTGCGGGGGCCAGGAGCGATGGTGGGACAGGAGCGAGGGTGGGACAGGAGCGATGGCGGGACAGGAACGGTGCGGGCTTCAAGAGTGTCTGGAGACAGGGGCGATGACGGGACAGGAGCGGTGGCGGGACAGGAGCGGTGTGTGGTTCTAGAGTATCCGGAGACAGGAGCGATGCCAGGGACAGGAGCGGTGTAGGGCTCTAGAGTGTCCGGAGACAGGAGCGATAGAGCGGTGTGGGGGCCGAGAGTGCTGTCAGGGACAGGGGCAGGACAGGCACATGAGAGGTGCTTGTGGATGAGGGGTAGGAGAGAAGCGGTGCGGCAGGAGGGCCGCCGCAGTCGATGGCCAGCTCTACAGTGGTGGCAGTGCTGCTGTGGGATCATCTCTCAATCTCGTCCAGGCCGACCATGACGCTGTTTGTGATGTGATCGTATGTGGGTTATGGCCCCGCGAAGCTCATCAAGGAAAACCAGCCAGCTTCTGTCTGAGATCCGGCAGACTACAGGGCAGGCTATCTGCCATTGAAAGCCTGCAAGTCACACCTGCACGACGACTGATAAACGGCTCGCGAATTGTCGCTGTTCTGCGGCGGGTGACAACGCTAGATGCGGCCAATAGAGCGCTCACCAAAGTCAGCGTTATAGCGACTGCATCACAGTATGCTGCAGCGCTGGGGCGACTGCACCACAGTATACTGCAGCGCCGGGGCGACTGCACCACAGTATACTGCAGCGCTATGGTGACTGCACCACAGTATTCTGCAGCACTGTGGTGACTGCACCACAGCATACTGCAGCGCTGTACCTTTGGAGCACATCTCACCGGTCCAGTCGGGTTCTGGGCCATCCGACGCGCGCGGGCACCGCGTGGCGCGCGCACGAGAGACACAAACGCTGCCATCCAATCTGCCGTCGCGACTGGCACATCATAGGGCCTGGTGCCATGGACTCAGCATTTTGGTATCAACTGACATTCATCTGCGATCACTTCGTCACATCGAGTCTGTCGTCACAAAGTCACGTGCTTCTCCGACAGTTCACCGGTTTCCGTTCACAGACATGACCCTTGTGTGATTGTATCCCAGTGCACTCAGGCGTCAGTTGGAACGGCGCGCTGCCCGGCCGCGCCCCGCCCCGCAGCAATAACCACGCGCTGCCCGGCCGCGTCCGGCCCCGCAGCAATAACCACGCGCTCCGCTTCGTTGATGTGGACGCTCCAGCGCAGCTGATACGGCCGTTTAAACAAGTGTCGATTTCTGTGTGTGCCGTCCGTCCTGTCAGAAGTAACGAGGGACAATGACAGCGTGGAAGCCTTGCCAAGCTGCCGCGGCTATTGGCGAAAAGTAACAAGAGCTGACACTGGGTTGTGCCCAGAATTGCGTCCGTCCTGTCGGTGGTGAGCTTGTGTGGACCATGATCATGCAGGTTCACACGAGACCGCGGTGCAGTTTTGCCTCCCGCATTGCATTCATCCCTTAGTTTTCGCACGAGTTCACGCAATGCGAGGCCACCGCTTAAGATTGACTATAATCAGACCCAGCCAACTCGTAACGGCGCCCCGGGCAGGGCCTGCAACCGTGCGCTGCTCACACTTCTGACGCGGCCGCGGTGATAGCGTGGGCTGCCAGAGCCGCAGACAGCCTTTCTACTGTCTAGCGTACCAAAAGCATGAATTATTCACCGCTGAAGCGTTCGGGCACCGCATTTCGTCACATCGTACGCCCCCAGCCAGGCGGCGGCGGGCGCCCTGGCCGGGGTGTGGCGCGTCGCACCCACCGGTGTTCGGCGCTACGTAGCCTGAAGCTGCCCTGGGCCACCACGCGCCGTGACGCGTCTGGCGTCGACTGGCCGCCGCCGCCGTCGCTCTGGCCGGCAGCAGGGGTGTTGGCTCAAACCGCCGCCCCCGCCGCTCTGGCCAGACCACCACTGCCGCCGCTCTGGTCGGCAGCACGGGTGTTGGCTCAGACCGCCGCAGCCGGCCCTCTGGTCAGCAGCAGGGGTGTTGGCTCAGACCGCCGCAGCCGCCGCTCTGGTCGGCAGCAGGG